AGATATTTCCTTGGATGAGGAAGCTTCATATTAGCCATGGTACAGCTACTTCTTCTTTTTTTTTTTATTTTCACCCCTTTTCCCCCCACCCCACCCCCCTCCTCTTTCTTCCTTTCTTCCCCTGGCTTTATTTGAAGAGTCGACGGGGGCTCCTGATAAGAAATCCAGCTATTTACTGCCTCGTATTTATTTCTCCGATCGCTGGTTTTAAAACAGAAAGCTGTCTTTGGAGATGATTTCTTTCTCTTTCTCTTTCTCTCTTTATTCCCCCCCCCTTGCTTTCTCTCTTTTTCTAACCCGCGAACGGTGATGCTATTTTAATCTCTATCTAGATATGAATATAGAGATAGAAAAGGTAATTTAAAACAGCGGGGATATTTTTGAGGGGGGGCACGGGTGGGGGGGCGGGTGCTGAGGACGGGGAGAAGTGATCATTAAAAATGGCAATATATGCACAGATGGGTCTCCCAGACATGTCTTATTCTGATGGTTATTTTGGTGTGTGTATTCTTGACAATGTGCTAATGACCCAATAAAAATTGCGAGTAGATACAGTGCACCGGGAACAGTGGTTTTCTTAATATATGTTTGGAAAAAAAAAAGAATTAAGCCAGTGGCACACACAGAAAGACCACACAGACACACACACACACACAAAATAGGTGGAATTAGAGATCCAGGCTCCCGTGTTAAATGGTGAAGGTAGAAGTGCCTGTGCCGGTTCGGAGGGACAGAAAGGGGCATCTACACGTGAGTGGGGGTGTGGGGGGGGCGGTTATCTCCAGATAACCCACTGACGGTTCGCGATTGCTAGGGGAAGGTTAATCGTTTGCCTTTGTGTATATTAAAGAGGGGGAAAACGCAAGCAAACCACAAACCAAATGTTGTCCGTCTTATTCAGACATGACTGGACCAGACGGTAAAAGGGCCAGGACCGCGTACACTCGTTACCAGACGCTGGAATTGGAAAAGGAATTTCACTTCAATAGATATCTCACGCGCAGGAGGAGGATAGAAATCGCCCATGCTCTGTGTCTCTCCGAGAGGCAAATTAAAATCTGGTTCCAAAACCGGAGAATGAAGTGGAAGAAAGATAATAAACTGAAAAGCATGAGTTTAGCCTCTGCGGGCAGCGCCTTCCAGCCATAAATTATAGAGAAAGGGGGTATCAAAAAAAAAAAAAAAAAAAGGGG